GCAATAGGGCACATGCACTCGCCAGAAAGTCAGAGAGAGACAAAGAAACAGAAAGCAAGATATCACCCTGCCCAGGGGGATGGCCACACCACAATCCTTTCTCCATTCTCCTCTCAGGATCTTGGGCAAGCATGCACACATGCCCGGTGTGAGTTTAAGCCATCCAGTCCGGGACTCAAACTGCCGCCAACTACATGGGAGTCCAGCGACATAGCCATTATGCTAACTGCTGGTCCCCATTATTGTTATTTTTAAATTTGGCCATAGTGAGACACAGAGAGAGAGAGAGAGAGAGAGAGAGAGAGAGAGCGAGCGCGAGAGCAAGCAAGCAGGTCCGGGACTTGAGCCATATCAGCCATGTGGGAGTCCAAGACCTTTAACCATCATGCCACCTGCCAACCACTCCAGTGTGTTTTTCAAGCCACCAGGATCAGAATTCAAACATCAGGGGACCAGCAGTTAGTGTAATGGTTATGTCGCTGAGCTCCCATGTAGTCAACCATGGTTTGAGTCCCAGACCTGGTGGCTTAAACTCATGGCGGGTGCATGTGCGTGTGTCCCAAGATCCTGAGAGGAGAATGGAGGAGAAGGGATTGCAGTGTGGCCATCCCCCCTGAGGGATGATTTCTCGCTTTCTATCTCTGTCTCTCTCTGTCTTTCTGGCGAGCACATGCGCCCTATATAGCAAACACCTCTCAAAAAAAAAAAAAAAAGAATCCAAACAGCTGTTGGCCATATGGGATTCAGCTCTTATTGCACAAGGCTTAGCCATTGTGCTATGGAGCTGGTGCTGTTGATATTATAATGGTGAAGGAAAGGACATGGTAAAGGGAAGAAGAGAGAACCAGCCAATGTGAAACTCATTTGAAACTCCATTTGTGAGGACTCTATATGAACAAATGATACACTATACAGCTTGTTTACATAGTTACATCAGAAAAGGTAGAGAATCTAGATGTCTATAGTTGGGGAAATTGATAAATAAATTATGTTATATTCAAATTACATAACATCAGCTAAGATTTACTACACAGATGCTGTCTAAAATGCTTTACATAAGTTACCTTGTTTAACCTTACAGCTTCTTTCTAAGGCAGGCCTAGAGCACTAATTTGCTCAAGTTCCGTTTTTGTTTTTGGTGTTTGTTTGTTTGTTTTTTGAGAGGTTTTTGCTATAGGGCGTATGCGCTCGCCAGACAGACAGAGACAGAGAGACAGAAAGCGAGAAATCACCCCCCAGGGGGGATGGCCACGCCGCAATCCCTTCTCCTCCATTCTCCTCTTGGGATCTTGGGCACGCACGCACACGTGCCTGGCGTGAGTTTAAGCCACTGGGTCCAGGACTCAAACTGCGGTCAGCTACGTGGGAGTCCAGCGACATAGCCATTATGCTAACTGCTGGTCCCAAGGGATCCAGTTCTCTTAACTACTAGGCCATGGTATGACTCATCCAAGTTATATATGTATCTTTACTGACATGAAAGTACAGTTGATCCTGGAACAATGTGGGATGAGAGAAGCCAACCCCCCCACAAATAGTCAAAAATCTGTGTATAACTTTTGACTCCCCCAAAACTTAGCTTACAGTTGACCAGAGACTTATCAGCAACAGTTGACACATGTTTTTTATGTTACATGTACGATATACTATATTCTTATGATAAAATAAACTGGGGGGAACATTTTAAGAAAATCTTAAAGGAGAGAAAATGTATTTTGGTACTGTACCATATTTATCGGTAAGTTTATGTCATCTATTCACAAGAGGAGATGTCTGTTAGTACCTACATCAATGTTGTCTTATATGACACAAAACACTGTAGATGTTATATGCATTACTAGTACTAGGTATCATGTATCAGCAGATAGTGTAATGGTTATGTCACTAGACTCCCATGTAGTTGACTGTAGTTAGAGTCCCAGACCTGGTGACTTAAAACTCATGCCACGCACATGTGTGACCAAAATAAATTATGTTATATTCAAATTACATAATGTTAGCTAAGATTTACTACGCAGATACCATCCAAGAGGAGTATGGAAGAGAAGGGATTGTGGCATAGCCATCCCCCCAAGGGAGTGATTTCTTGCTTTCTGTTTCTCTGTTGAGTGCCTTATACAAAAATCTCTCTCTAAATAAAATAAAGTAAAAATCTGCTAAATTAGGAGCTGACAAGTGGTATGGTGGCTAAGGGTGCTGGACTCCCACATGGCCGACTGTGGTTTGAGTCCTGGACCTGGCGGCTTGCTTTCTCTCTCTCTCTCTCTCTCTCTCTGTCCCTTTCTGGTCAAATTTAAATAAATAAAGTTAAATAAAATAACTCTTTTTAAAAATCTGCTAAATTAGTTGCATTGTATTTATTAACAGCTTTACTGAAATATAATTCACATGCCATATAGTTCATTTAAGGTATACAATTTGATCCTTTTTAGTGTATTTACAGAACTGTGCAATCACCACTACAAATCAACTTTAGAAAATTATTTTTGTTTTTTGTCTTATTTCATTTTAATTTGCTAAAGGGTGTGTGAGCTTGCTAGAGAGAGAAGGAAAGTGAGAAGGCACTCTCATGGAGATGATCACACCATAACCCCTTCTTTATTTCTCCTTACAGGCTCCTAGCCTTTTTCAAGCCAGATCTGGGACTCAAACCAGTCAACCAAGTAGGATCCAACTACATCAACAAGCACACCAACAGCTGACCTGTATTTTCTTTTTTTATAAAATATGAAAGACACATAGAGACATAAAGAGACAGATGGAGAGAGGTGCAGATGCAGTAATCTTGGAGTTAAAATGAGGGCATCAAAAAGTTGGGTCAAAATATCTTTTCAGGAAAAAAAAAGTCTATCCTGAGTTGAGTTGTATTATATTTAACGAGCTGGAGAGGAGAAGAAATAAGATGGCACTCAAGTAGGGGCCACAGGACAAGCAAAGGTCTGGTGATTGGACTGAATAAGGAGTACTGGGAAATTACTAAGAGGTAGTAGAACGTGAAGCTTGGATGATTTGCTGGTAATTACATCATCAAAGGCTTTGAATGGCAGCCTCGAAGATTTCAAGATTACTTTTATTATTATTATTATTATTATTATTATTATTATTATTATTATTTGGAGATTTTTGCTATAGGGCATGTGCACTCACCAGAGAGACAGAAAGTGAGAAATCACACCCCCAGGGGGGATGGCCATGCCACAATCCCTTCTCCTGCATTTTCCTCCCCATATCTTGGGCATGTAAACACACGCACCCAGTGTGAGTTTTAAGCTGCTGGGTCCAGGACTCAAACCACAGTTGACTATATAGGAGACCAGCAACATAACCATTACGCCATCTGGCGGTCCCTAAATATTAATTTTTACAGCTTTGGGGTAGCCTTTAGAGACTGATTTAAAGATGTCAATCATATGATCAGATCAAATAGGCAAGATCACAGCAATGACTGGTAGGTGCAAGCACAATGGACCTAAGTGGGAGGTATCTAAGAAAATGAGTCCTTATCTTTTGTAAAATGTTGCAGCAATTCAGGGCTGAGGTAAAGACTTTGAACATAGCCAGCTGAAAGTCCATGACTTAAATATTGATTCAGTGGACCAAAGCCACATTTATCATGGGATCGGTTCCCTAAAAGACCCGTGCCTATGTGCAGGGAACTCATCATTTTCCTATTATATAAATTGATTAGGTCATTCAAAGTTGAGCATGATGCCAGGGGTTTGCTGCTAATCAAGCTAGAATAATAAGATGGATGACAAGGTAGGCCCCCTGCCAACTGGGCAAGGAGCTGATCTCAGAGGCACAGAACACTGCAGTAAAGTACCCTGTTTGTGCTCGGAGTCTGAGCAAAGACAGGCACTGAGAGGTCTGGCAATGCCCTTCAGCTGCATCTGGAGGCTCCAGGCCCAGTCCCTGGAATGATACCTCTCGGCTTCTGCTGGAGCTGGCCAGTCAACTGAAATCCAGCTTCAGAGGTCCATGGTGGCATTGTCCTCATTGCCTGCAGGGGCTTGTAAGAGTGGGGGTACTTGAGGAACAAAGCCTAGGGAGACATCTGTGGAGAGCCCAAGGAAGACAGTCCTGAGGAGAGGGTAGCTGACAGGTGTCTTGACAGTTAACAACAGTCTGTAATTACAATAATTTGTGTTAAGACTTTTACTGTGCTCCAGAAGAAGAGGAAGGGAGCTTAGTTCTTTCAGTGGATAAGATATTCTTTTCCATATGCAAAGGCTCCAGAGCTGGGTTAAGAACACTGCAAAACTAGCCACATGCTATTCAGTGCCAAGAAGCCTAGTTCTGACTTGGTGGTGGAAGAGTCTCTCCACATCTGCCTCCTCCCTAACACAGAGGGGAGTGCAAGTTGCTTCCATCTATAAACTGGAGCCTCATTTTTTGGGAAGATCCAAGTCTCCGAGGTGCCCTGGTTTGAGAAAAATCAGCATCCGAATTCAGTTGTCTTTGGGGTTTCCCACAGCTCTCCTGGCCCCCAGCCTACTCTTCATTTTGTGTAAGGGGCGGGCTCAGAGGACTCTGGTTTCAAAGTTATGAAATACTCAGTGAGTGGTGGAGGCTCCATCGGAGACCTTGACCGGTAGGGGACTGACACTGCTGCCACAACTTTGGGCGACCTTAGCTTGGAGCGTTTACTGTTGTGGAGGATAGATAGCTTGGGATTGGGGATGGGAGAGAGGCAGCTCTGCCTTTTGCCACAGTCCACCCACCCAGAGTAGCTAAACACTACCGGCACTGCCTTTATTTTCTGACATCGGTTTCGTACCATCACCATCAGGGTCCTCATCTCCTCCGCCTATAGAAGGTTTTTCTGTCTGTACTGAGGGTATTTTTTGCCACGGAACTTTGTGGCTCCAGCCAAGCCGACTTGTGTCTAGCAGAAAAGTGCCCTCGGCAGTGCGGAAGACTCCGAGTCTTCCTTGAAACACCACCATTTCCCCTGAGCACTCCAGAGCACACCCCCTGCTCCTACCTCTGAGAAACCTCTAATGGGCTTTGCCTACACCCCCTCTACCTCTCTACCCTTTGTCGCATACAGGGTCTTATCCCCGACCTTGGGCTGGAGAGGTGGGTGAACTAGAGAAAACCAGCAGCCCTCCTGGCCTGGGCGGCGCTTCCTCCTCCAGTTGCACCTCAGTCCCCAACCGGTGCTTGACTCCTCCCTTGTCTCTATTCCGCAGCGTCCCCGCCCTGTCAGTATGCTGCTTGAGCGACGGGACCTGCCAGGGGTTGGGGGACACAAGAGAGGTAGAAAGAAAAACAGAGAGAGTTTGGGGAGCGCGACCCAGTAGGGTGAGAGTCCTCGCCCGGCTCTGATGGCCTCGGCAGCCCTGGCTCTGCCGGCCCGCCTGCTGCGGCACCGATGCGCCGTCCCCGGGGC